TTGCCTCAGGTCAACACTGCCAGAGAAAAGAGGAAAATAGAACAAACGAGAACCTCACTCCTATGTGAGTTGCTTCCCTAAGTTTTGACTCTTCTCCTCAATCTGCCTGTTTTGCTTTTCGGAGTCCTCAGGGACTTTTTGTATTTCGTCTGAAATTGTTAGTTATCTTACATGGGAGAGAGGGCTGTAGTGGGCTTATTACTCTATCTTGACTGGTACCAGAAGCCTGCATTAATGCTCTTTATGGTATTTTTTTTCTGATCCAGGATCAGAAAATGTACATCATGTGGGTGGCCATGTCCTTCACTTTTGAACATTCTTTAACACTGTTGGTTTTGCACACTGCTGATGTTTTGGGAGGACAGGGGCCAGTTTTGTAGAACCTCTCTCAGCCTCCCACCCCTCAGACTTTTCTCCTCACCACTGCAATGAACCTCTGTTGCCGAGGCTACTGATGACTTCTGTGTTGCTAAATCCAAAATTTCTTTGTCTTCATCTTAATTTCTCAACACATTCGATTCTTCTCTTTTTGAAATAGTTTCTCTGCTTGGCCTCGGAGATACGACTCCCTCTGGTTTCCCTCCCTCCCTCATTCTCACCCTCTTTTCTGGATCCTTCTCAGGGCCCAGCCTCCAGACCTTAGCATACCCTCAGGCATCAGTCTTTATCTACACTGAGTCCCTTTGTAATCTTATCCAGCCCCATAACTTGCAATTCCATTCATTCAGTGATTCCCAGTGATGTCTCCAGCTCAGATGTCTGTAAATTCTGCATTCAGACATATTCCTGGGTGTCTAATAGGCATCTCAAACTCTTATCACATCCAAAATAGTTTCCTCCCTACTCCAAACCTGTTCCTTCTATAGTCTTCTCCATCTCAGTAGATGCATAACTCGTTCTAGCTCTTCAGGTGAAAACTCTTGGCGTCGTCCTTCCTTCCTCATCTCATCTCCTACATCGTTGTATCAGTCTGTCTTTAACACATGCAGATTCTGACCACCTCTCATCCTCTTCACTGCTACCGCCTTAGGCACCTTCGTGCAGGCCACCGTCATCTCTCACGTCCTTCCTTTCCATCTCCTGCCCCTTCTCTTGCCCTCTACACTCTATTCTTCATATCGGCCCAAGTGGTCCTTTTATAACTCAAGTCAGAGCATGTCATTCCTCTGTTCAGACCCCCAGTGGTTTCCCACGTGTCTAAGCACAATACGAAGGCCTGCGAGACCCACCCGAGATCTTCAACACCCTTCCCCTCGCCCACTACATCTCCACTATACTGGCCTCCTGCCTGTTCCTAGAGCACATCTAGCAGCTTCTTCCTCGGGGCCTTTGCACTTGCTGTTCCTTTGGCTTGGAATGCTTTTCCATGTAATCATATGCCTTATTCTCTCACTCTGTTCAGTTCTCTACTCAAATGTCACCTTATAGAGAGGACTTTTCTGATTTCCCTATTTAAGATAACATCGTTCCTCTATGTCCCTTATAATCCCTGTGCTTCTTATCAGGTTTTCTTTTTCTTCGTTGTACTAACCCTCCCTGGTGTGACACATTTGATCTGGTGCTTACTGACAGTCTTTCTCAGTAGAATGTAAGCTCTGGGAGGGCAGGAACTATGTGAGTCTAGAATGGTTTTTGGTACATAGTGGGTGCTCAGTAAGGATTTGTAGAATAGGTAACTCAGTAAAAATACTTTTGAATATGTAGATTTTATCTCTATCCTTGGAGCTGCCTCTTGGAGCCATCCAACTTTCTTCCTGCAGTCATAGTCCAGGGGAGGAATGGCCCCCTTCCCCTGACCCTCGTGCTCCCAGGCCAGGTCAGTTGGTCTCCAGGCTGGAGTCCCCCTCAGTGGACATCCTGATCGACAGCCACAGTGGACATCACCCTCCAATGTCTCCTGTGATTCCAAATGCCAGGGCCAAGGAAGCACTTATCAGTCACCCTGCTCTTGCAAGGGGGAGGTCCGTGGCAGAGCCCGCTTCCCAGAATGTCAAGTAGGCGCCTGGTTCTCCATCACTCTGGGTGATTGAGTGTGAGGAATCCATCACTCAGCCTGCCAGCAGGCGAGAAGGGAGACCAGCGCCTCAGCTGCATTTCTTTCTTTTTTGCCCTCCCCCATCTGATGTCAGAGCTAATTAGAGGCAGTGAAGCCTAATCACTGCCCCAAGGCTGGTGACGATGGGGAGCCACTGGCTAGGGCCAGCCCCAGAATGCAGCCATCGGCTGAGTGGCCTCCCTGGATGTCTGTCTTACAGAAAATACCCACGTGCATTCAAGGCACCAAGTCTGCTGTTTGTGTGACAATTTGTATTCTACAAGGCGATTTCATAAACCTTCCATTTGTCCCCGTGCCCACTGGGTTTTTCCCTTAAAATTTTTTTTACTTAGAGTAAAAGTCATTCTTTTTAGTGTATAATTGCAAGAGTTTTGACAAATGCATACAGTTATATACCCACTTCCACAATCCCGATATAGCACAGTTCTATCATCACCCCCAAATTCTACTAAGATCTTTTGTGGTCAACCCCTCTCTCCACCTCTGGTGCTGGCAGCCACCGATCTGTTTTCTGTCCTTACAGTTGTGCCTTTTCCAGGATGTCATATGAGTGGAGTCGTACAGTATGTAGCCTTTCGGGTCTGGCTTTTTTTCACTCAGCTTAATACATTTGAGATTCATTCATGTTATTGGGTGTATCAGTTACTTGTTCCTTTTTATTGCTGAGTATTATTCCATTGAATGGAGATTTCTTTTTCCATTCTCCAGTTGAAGGATATTTAGGTAGTTTCAAGTTTTTGGTGATTATGAATAAAGCTACCATAAACATGTGCATAAAGGTTTTTGTGTGAACGTAAGCTTTTGTTTCCCTTGGGTGAATAAACTAGGAGTAGAAATACTAGGTTGAATGGTAGGTATAAATTTAACTTTTTAAGAAGCTTCCAGACTGTTTTCCAAAGTGGTTGTGCCCTTTCACATTCCCCAGCAGTGTCTGAAGGTTTCAGTTCCTCTGCCTCGTCAACACTTGGTATAGTCAGCTTTTATCTTTAGCCATTCTCATAGGTATGTAGTGGTATCTTCTTGTGGTTTTAATTTCCATTTTCCTAATTACTAATGATGTTGAGCATCTTTTCATGTGTTTATTTGCCGTCCATCTATCTTCTTTTGCGAAATGTTTAAATCTTTTGCTCATTTAAAAAAAATTAGGTTGTTTTTCTTATTATTGGGTTTTGTGAATTCTTTATATTTTTTGAATACAAGTTCTTTATCAGATATATGATTTATAAATATTTCCTCCCAGTCTATGGCTTGTCTTTTTATTCTCTTAGCATCTTTTGAAGAGCAAAAGTTCTTAAATTTGACGACGTCCAGTTTATCAATTTGTTCTTGGGCCAGCCCCATGGCTTAGTGGTTAAGTGCGCGCGCTCTCCTACTGGCGGCCCGGGTTCGGATCCCCGGCGCGCACCAACGCACCGCTTCTCTGGCCATGCTGAGGCCGCATCCCACATACAGCAACTAGAAGGATGTGCAACTATGACATACAACTATCTACTGGGGCTTTGGGGAAAAAAAGGAGGAGGATTGGCAATAGATGTTAGCTCAGAGCCCGTCTTCCTCAGCAAAAAGAGGAGGATTAGCATGGATGTTAGCTCAGGGCTGATCTTCCTCACAAAAAAAGAAAAATTGTTCTCATATGGATCAGGCTATTGAAGTTATATCTAAGAAAACTTTACCTTACCTCAGGTCACAGAGATTTTCTCCTATGTTATTTTAAAAAAAGTTTTATAGTTTTAGGTTTTACATGTAGGTCTATGATCCATTTTGAGTTGGTTTTTTGTAAGGTGTGATGTTGTATTAAGGTTAATTTTTTTGCATATGGACATCCAGTTGTTTCCTATCATTTATTGTAAAGACTCATCTTCCTCCATTTAATTGTTTTTGCACCTTGTCAAAGATCAGGCGACCTTTTTAGTGTGGGTCTATTTCTGGACTCTCCGTTCTGTCCCATGGGTCTACGTGACTATCCTTTCACCAATACCACATTGTCTCGGCTTCTGTAGTTTTACAGTAAGTCTGGAAACCAGGCAGTGACCACACCGTTTTTTTAGCGTGGCAGTTATCATTCCCCAGCTTTACAGATAAGGAAACTGACCATCGTGCTTAGATGTCCTGCTTACAGCCTCGCTTATATAAGACGTTAGCTACTCAGCTCATACTCGAAACCCACGTCTTCATGCCTCGCCTGATGCTCAGAGTGTGGCCTTTGGAGTCTAGTTTGGGTTTAACTCTCAGCCCTGCTTTTATTCATGTGTGGCCCTGAGAAAGCAACTTTACCCCCTTGCACCTCAGTTTCCCTTTCTGTAAAATGCGTGTAACAATGGTAGCTGTCTTAAGATTGCTTTAAAAATTGAGTCCAGTATCGGGTCAAACCACATGAAATTGCTGGTGTTTGATCCTTTTTGACTGACACAAATGGCAATTTTACATAGTTCAACCTAATATGCAAATGTTCCTGATAGTACTAAATGGCGGGTGTGTACTCCAGGAATGGTAGCTGTAGCTGTCGTCATTATCGTCATTGTCGTTGTCATCGTCACTATTATTCCTACTACTCCTGCTGCCGTGGCTGCTGCACTGTTGCTGTTGAGCGCGGCGGCCCTGAGGCTGATGATTCGCGTTGTGTGTGTCCTTGAGTCAGGCAGCCAATGTCCACCAAGCACTTCCTGCATGACAAGCTTCTTGCCGAGTCTGCAAAGAGTAACAGGGCCCAACCTCTGCTCCTGTGGAGTGGAAGTGCCCGCCTGGTGTAGTAGAGGAGTGTGCAAAGTGCCACGAGAGAAGCTTGGTGGGAAGGAGGGGTTGGCAGGACTTTCCAGAGGGGGCCCATTAGGTGGACCTTGTAGGACGATTGGGAGTCTGGGACGGGAAGAACATTCCAGGAGCAGGTTACAGCTTGTGTAAAGTCTTGGAAGGGGGAACAGATAGGCTTCAAGGGAGCCTGGGGTTTGACTCTGGGGTGGAGAGTGGGAAGCAGCCCACGGGGGCCTAGAATGGGTTCACAACCCCCATCCTTTCCCTCCATAGGTGGCCCTAGTCTGTCAAACATCTTTGAGGAGCCAAGTCCGGAAGGCCTCTCCCTCCTCTGCCTCTGCCATGGCCGCGAGAACCATTATCATCGACCACGGGTCTGGCTTTCTGAAGGCTGGCCTGTCCGGGTGGAATGAGCCCCAGATGGTCTTCCCGAGCGTTGTGAACTACATTCCGTGCAGGGAGAACCCCGGCCCCAGCTACGCCCGAAGACGCGTGAGTCTGGGCATCGACATTTACCATCCCGACACCTTCAGCTACCCCGTCCAGCGTGGCCGTGTCCTCAACTGGGAGGGCGTGGAGCACATCTGGTCCTTCGTCCTGGAGACACATAGACGGGAGCACGAGGACTCCCCTGTGATAGTCACAGAGTCCCCCCTGAGGGAGCCTGTGGACCGACAGAAGACCCTGGAGGTAAGGCCTTCTCGGGGCTGCCCTTACTGGGGAGAGGGGAGCAGCCTGGCACTATGTGTTCAGACATGACTGGGCATTAGGAACTCTGCTTTCTAAGTAATTTGCCCCACAGATGTTTACTGAGTACTTAGTGTGTGCCCAGCACTGTGCTGGGCAAGAGGGGGCTCCTCCTGCAGGTAGAGACGCAGCAGGTAACATACTCTGCGGAAAGGGTGCTTCTGGGAGAGACACCTGGTATTCCTTCATGGATTCCATAAATGTTCACAGATCATGTTCTAGCCCTTAAAGAGCTTACGTTCTGGGGGAAGACTTGACCATGAATAAGTTAACAAGTAAAAATCCAGAGAGCGATTAGTTCTAAAAGCAAAATGAAATGGGGTGATAGCTGGCTCGTGGGGATAGAGGGAACCCCTTCGAAGAGGGTAATGAGGGAGAGCTTCTCTAAGGAGATGATTTCAGCCAATGAGGCTGGAGCCCAGCGAACTAAGGAAGGTGGCAGGAGGGACACAGGAAGATGAAGTCAGCAGGGAACAGACCTTCCAGTCCTGGTGGGCTGTGGGAAACACTTGGATTTTACCCTAAATCAAGGGTTGGCAAACTACAGCCAGTGGGCCAAGTTTGGCCCACCATCTGATTTTATAAATAAAGTTTTATTGGCACATAGCCACGCCCACTCATTTACATATCGTCTGTGGCTGGTTGTACACTGCAGCAGCAGAGTTGAGTAGTTGTGAGAGAGACTGTATAGGTTTGTAAAGCCTAAAATATTTATTACTGTAGGTTTGCTAGATAAAATATGTGCTACCGAGTTAGATTTGAATTTCAGATAAACAGCAAATAATGTTTTAGTGTAAGTATGTCTCGAATCTCGAATAGTGCATGGGACATACTTACACTAAAACATTATTTGCTGTTTATCTGAAAGACAGATTTAACTGGGCAGCCTATATTTCCATTTGCTGCATCTGGCGAGCCTGTCTAGCCCTTTACAGAAAATGTTTGCCAACCCCTGCTCTAAATGAATAGAAACCTGCTGGAGAGTTTTAAGTGGGGGAGTCATATTTGATTTTCTATTTGAAAGGGAGAACCTTGGCTTCTGTTAGGGAACTGGATGGTGGAGGGGCAATATTCTGAGCATGGGAACCGAGGGAGCTCCCTCCCGCTCAGGGCAGAAGATGGGCCTGCCGGGGCCTAAAGAGGGAGGTGAGTCTCCAAAGGCTGTAGCAGGAGGGACAGTTGCTGCCTTTCTTCGTCTATAGCATCAGAAACTTGAGGATGCATCCACAGCTGGGGAACTGGGGAGGCGGTGGGGGTGCTCTGTAAAGATCTAGGGGGTGACGGGCATGGGGGTTAAATCAGCCTAGGGACTTGGCCAAACCCTAAATATTAGAATTCTAGTTTTGTCTTGGTGTTTGAAAAGTTTTTATTCTAAAAAAACTAAGGCTTCACCTACCAGGAGGTGGGCGTATATTTTCTTTTTCTTTGTACTCCTCCATTTGGGAGGCAGTGGCGAAGATGCTGCACTTGTTGCTTATTTCTTCTTCCCTCTTCCAAAGAAATGGTTCAGCCAGCACGTCTGCCTCTTGGCTGTGCTCCCCCTCCTATCCTCCCACTGCTCACAGAGCCCGGCATCTCAGCCCATTTCCTGCAGCTGATGGCTCTTCCCACCCCTCCACCATGTGGAGTGCTGAAAACCCCACATCAAACCAGCCCCTGAGGGCAAATCTGCCTCTTTCTAACCCTCTAGAGCCCATCCCTTATTCCCACAGAATGAGCTCCAGGGGTCCTGGGACCAATGTCCTGGGGCAGCCCCCCAGTCCCTCGAGGACGCAGTTCTGTGCTGATTTCAGTTTTGGGAGCTGAGCCCCCAGCATGGTCTTGGGGAAAACAGAAATGAATCAGGGGCCCTTGGTTTGGAGAAAACACCCTGAGTGTGTCAGTCTTCTCCCCTTCTTGCAGATTATGTTTGAGTTACTGGATGTCCGGTCCATACTCCTGGCCGACCAGCTGGAGATGTCCCTGTACGCCTCTGGCCTGCTGACCGGCGTGGTGGTTGATTCTGGTTACGGCCTGACCCGCGTGCAGCCTTTCCATCTGGGCCGCCCCTTACAGCCCAGTGGTAAGACGCTGGAGTTCGCGGGCCAGGATCTCTCCGCCTACCTCTTCAAGAGCCTCTTTAAGGAAGATAGCAACCAACACAACTTGTTTCAGCTGGACACGGTCACCAACACTCAGATGAACAAGTGCTACGTGCCGCAGAATCTGGGGGAGGCGCTGGACTTCCGTCAGAGCCTGCCCAATGGCTCAGATGAGAACAACACCTATCAGCTCCCGGATGGCACCCCCGTGGAGCTGACCCCCCTGCAGCGGCTGGCTCCCGAGATGTTCTTCAGCCCCCAGGTGTTCGACCTGGAGGGGCCCAGCATCTCTCAGGCTGTCTTGGATTCCATCCAGACCTGCGAAGCCTCTCTGCACCCACTGCTCATCTCCCACGTGGTGGCCTGCGGGGGGAACACCCTCTATCCGGGCTTCACGAAGCGCCTGTACAAGGAGCTGATAGAACATCATTTCTCCTCCACCAAGACCACCGTATGGGTGGGTTCCAACAGAAACTTTAGTGTCTGGTTAGGAGCATCTGTTGTGGCTCATCTGTCTACCTACAAGTCTGAGTGGATGACCAAAGAGGAGTATGAAGAGAGTCTGAGGCTGTGACCTGTTGGCTGGCTTCTGGGCCCTGCTCCTGTCAGATAGGCTTGGGTGGATTAATTTCAGTGAAAGGGTCTGGGCAGGAGTGGGGTTAGCTGGCTTTGGAATTCTAAGGTCATGGAAGATTTTTTTTAGGTTCTAGAGTTTTATCTTGTTTCAAGAGTGGGATCTCACCCATGGGAGGAGGACAGGGTGTCATCTCTGGTAGCCCTCCAGGGGACAGTTTTTCCAGGGATGGTCTGTCATTGGGGTGGGAGCTGCCAGCTGCCATCTCTATGCCTAAAAGCCACTTGTTTTTCACTGGCATCTCCCTTGGGTTATCTCGTTCTTCTTAGTTGAATAGGTTTTAACTGGGGCAAGAGAGAAGTATTTTTGAATAGGGAATAGAGAGGGTGGGGATGAGGAGAGTTGAAGTTTCTGGTCCTAGATGCTCTTTCTGGCCAGGGAGGAGTTGCTGCATGTGAGCCTGGAGGGCTCTTCTCACCTGTGGCCAGGTCTTGTTTTATATATGCAAATAAACTTGTTTGGAACCAGTGCTGGCTTCTGTGATGGATGGCGGTAGGGTGGGCAGTCCCTTGGGGAGACCCAGGGGGTGTAAGTATGGAGGGACCAGGGTGGGCCCAGGGCAGCCTCTGAGGAATTTGGGGGCCTATGAGCAGTGGTTACCACTGAGCAGAGTGGATACGAGCCTAGAGCCTCCCGTTCCACTGCCACATTCTCTCCATTCATCCCAGATGTCCCAGTATTCTGTTAAAGTTTGAGTTCCTGTTAGTGTAATATTTATATGATAAACATTTTTGAGAACCTAGTATGTGCCGGGTACTATGCTAGACATTGGGGACTTTGAGGTGAAAAAGATACATGAGGTTTCCGGTTTCAAGGAGATTACAGTCTTCTGTGGGGACGTAGGCAATAAATAAGTAAATATATTTCAGATGATGACGAATGAAATGAATCAAATATAACAAGGTCATGTGATCTGGGGGGGGTGGAGGGATGCCTACTTTCCCAGGGAGGCCTGAGATGGAGGCCACTGGGGACCATCGGTGACTGTGCCCCCTTCTTCCTCAGCACACTGTGAGGTTACACTTCCCAGTACCCCTGGCAGTTCGGTGGGGCCACATGACCACACCGTGGGTTCCGGCAAGTTCAGTGTACCTGGCCCTTAAACTAGTCCTATCAGCCTGTGGGATGCAGAGGATCCAGTGGCAGAGCTGCAGATGGAAGGAGCCTGAAGGACTGGGTGGAACAGAGCCCCCTCCCCAAACTGCGCTGCACTGGGACATGAGGAAGAATCTACTATACTCAACCAGTGGGATTTGGGGGTTGTTTGTTACAGCAGCTATTTTGCATTCTCTGACTAATACAGAGAAAGGAGTCGTAAACTACTATTTATTTAACAAATATTTTTTCTTGTAAGTGGCAGAAGTGGGGTTCAAATCCAGTCTGGGCCTGTTATGTGGCTGCTTCTGAAAGGGGCTCTTGGTTCCCCAGTGTTAGCTACAATCGAGTAACAAGTATGGTGGCTGGAGGATGGAAGCCCAAGGAACCCAGATGTTTCAGGGACAAGAAGAGGAATTTAGAGGCCAGAGTCCAGCTAAACTGTCTTTGACACATGAACCGTATTCTCTCAGCCACAACTTTATCCCCAAACTTGAGATATTAGTGGTCCCAGGGGAAGAAGTGGGGGCCTAGAATGATGACTCTTTAGGGGAACTGCTCAGAACTAGCCTGGCACAGACCCCAGGGCCTTGGGGTTAAGTATGAGTTACAGGCTGGTCCTGCCATTAGCTAAGCTACCTTGGGCAAATTACTTAACCTCTCTGAGTCTGTCACATGTACAATATGGAGTAATACTTCCTCCTCTCAGAGATTTGGGGTTGAGGATCAGCTCAGATGAGGGATGAGAAGTCTCTGAAAACTAGAAAGTGCTACTGAAATATGAGCTGTCACTTTAAATTTTATAATTTGATATTGCTCTCCTGTTAATCGAGAGTATTAATAACAACAGCAGCCACTGTGCCTTGCCAGGCATTGTGGTGAGTGCTTTACAAATGGAGTCACATTTGGTTCTCACATGTATGCTGTGAAATGGGTCCTCTTCATCCGCATTTACAAATAGGAAAACTGAAGCTTAGCAATGTTAAGCACTTGCTCAAGTTCACACTCAAGCTCAGGCTAATGAGAGAGTCACAGTTAGGAATGGCTTCAGCATTCCTAGAAAACTAGACTAAAAATGGCTGAAACATTGGGATTTATCTCAGGTAACAAGGAGGCAGCCCAGTCAAGCAGTGGTAGATCGACAACATCAAGGACTCTTTCTATCTTTCCATTTTTCTGCTTTGTCGAGTGTGTTGCGTCATGGTCACAAAATGGCTGCAGTAGCTCCAGGTATCACACCTGTATTCTCTGCGGGAAAAGGAAGGGTGAAAGGAGTGTGCCATCTGAGTCTCTCTCTTTATATTAGGAAAGCCTCACCCAGCAGACTTCTGTTTATGTCTCTTTACTTAGAGGTAGCTAAAAGAAACAGGAGGCCCGTGGGCATTGGGTGAGCTGACCCACAGCATGTGTCCTCTGGCAGAGGAGGGATCTGAACCTAGGTCCATCCATACTAAAGCCTATGTTGTTACCCACAGTGCCAGACCACCTTCCCAGTTTTCTGGGCCCTGTTGGACTTCTTGGCCTGAGGGATGAAGACGTGTGGCTTATCCAGGCATGAGTGAAGTCTGCTTTTGGGTGGCAATCAGGTGTTGACATGCTGAGCAGTGATCTTTGTGCTCCAAACTGGTCTGTTTGTGTACTCCCGAGCCTTAAAAGGCAGAAGCAGGGAAACACAGAAGTGAGTCTGATGGAGAAGAAGGAGCTGAGAAAAGATGGGCAAGGGGTATTTTTTTTCCTTATTTAGCTCTGGGCAACTGTCATCAGAACTCTTTCTCATTTTATTCCAAATGTAACTTTTAACCTTTCTGTTCAAGCATCAAATTTGGCTGCCTGGTGTATAATTACGAACTTTTCTTTGCTTTCTCTCCCCCCTCCCCCACCCTGAAAGCTTTTAAAACTCCCTCTCTGGGTACCATCTCTCTCCTCTGACTCTCCAATTAAATTAAAAATAGCAGCTCCATGGGGCTGTGCAGGGCCATCAACCGAACACAACACTGCTGGCACACTAGGCCCGGCGGGGTGGCGAGTGGTGCCCAGAAGATGCCTGCGGCTCTAGCATGGCCTGGCAGCTGCTCAGAGCTGGGAGAAGCTTATCCTCCATGAGGGGTCTGAGGCTGCCTGCCAGGGCCAGCCAGGTGCAGAGGGGTGGGAGGCAGGGTCTTGGCAGCTGGGGAGGGCTGGAGGAGGGGACAAAGGGAAGGGCCCCTAGGCGGGCCATTCCCAGCTGTGAGAGTACAGTTCTGCCAGTTTCTGTGGCCAAGGCTGGGGCTTGGCATCCTTGTGTTTGGGTTTGGGTGGGGTTTGGAGCCCAAGTTCCCTGAGATAACCCTGGTAGAAACTTTAGGTTCTTCTGATACAGAAAACAAAGTCAATGTAACACTAGTACCCTCCTGGCTCTAGAAGAGACTTTCATTGCTCCCACCTCTAGATCCCCTTTCTTTAGAGAGCCATGTGGTGAAATGGACAAAAGCTTGGACTCTGAAGCCAGATTGTCTGAATTATCATCCTTCCTGTGCTGCTTTCTGGCTCTGTTGCCTTGGGGGAAGTTACTTGATCTCCTGTGCCTCAGTTTCCCCATCTATAAAATGGGCCTAATGAAGATGCCTACCTCAGGGTGGTTTTGATGATTACAATATGGGTTTGATGAGTTAATATACATAAAACACTTAGCAAGTGCCAGACACATAAAGGTTAGCTGTAATTATTTCTGTACACACCAAGTCCTTAGGAAAAAACATGGCTCTTCTGTTTACTTTTACTTGCTTATATGCAGGTAGGTGATAGTGATACAAAATGAACAAAACATCATAAAGTGCTAGCTTGCTTTACAGGAGGAGGCATTTCAGGGTAAATTCTTTCCTTGTCTGAGTGACAGAGAAGAATCACATTCTGTACACAGAGGTATGACAGGGATGGAGAGTGACTGGCTACAGGAGAGACAGTCAACCAGAGGCGTCTTCCATAGGAAGTGATGCCTGAGATGACTCTCGCCAGAGGAGCAAGACTTAGCACGAGCTGTTCCTTTTGTTTGGAATGCTTGTCCCTGATAGCAGCCCCATAGCTGCCTTTGACAAGCTGAAATGGGGAGTGAAATAAATGGAGCATTCAGGATGGCTGGAGAATGAGGCAGTAGGGAGTGGGGACACAAGAAGGTGGAGGTAGGTAGGGCCAGCTCTTGAAGGACATTGAGTGTCACACCAAGAGTGAAGACTTCATCCTGAGCGTGATGGGGAGGCCTGTCAGAATTGTAAGCAGAGTCATGACATCACTTGAAGAATTGGAGCTCTGGGTATAACTTGGAGAATGGCCCAGAGAGGGACCAGACCAGAGCAATAACATAAATCACAAAAATACGCATTCCATTAGACTCTAGGCTAAATATTCTGCATTGTCCAGGATCTTGCTCCTCTCTGATGCCTTAGATGGGAATTTGGTATTGGTGATTCTTTGGGGTTGTGGTGGGTTTGAGGGACCAACACATCTTCCTTCCTATTGTCTGGCAGATGTCTGGTAGTTGTCAATTTTAGAGCAACTACCACCCAGGCCTGGGTGGTGGCAGGAGAGGCAGCCTAGAGTGTGGGACTTGGGGAGAGTGGTCTCCAAGGGGAGAGAGTGAGATGAATTCATGTTGAGGGCAAGATGTGCCCTGCCCCAGCTGGGAGTTTGTGCTTGGCTCTGTGTGCTCTTCCTTTCAGCACTGGAAATCCCGGACAGCTCCCCTTGTGCTCTTCCTTTCAGCACTGCAAATCCCGGACAGCTCCCCTTGTGCTCTTTCTTTCAGCACTGCAAATCCCGGACAGCTCCCCTTGTGCTCTTTCTTTCAGCACTGCAAATCCCGAACATCTCCCCATGTGCTCCCCCTGTCAACATTGCAAATTCAGGGCAGCTCCCGGGCTTCTCACTTCCTTTCACCTCATTCATGATCTCCTGTTCCAAGAAGCCAATCTCTGCTAAGAAAGGAGGAACCATGGCTGCCGGGAAAGAGCTCTGGTGTCAGAATCAGACACCCAGGCTTGAATCTCTGTTCCCTACTTGCATGCTGTGTTGTCTGGTGCAAAGAACTGCCCCTCTCTGGTTCTACTGCCTCATCTGTAAAGAGATGATAATAGTGTGTACCTCACAAGGCTGATATGGGGATTAAAGTCATTCATCCATTCAATGAATATTTATTAGGCACCTACCCTGTGCTGAGCCCTTTTCTAGGCTCTGTGAAATTGAAGAATGTTTATGAAGTGGCTTA